AACCTACAATATAAGTTTCATAAAAATCTGTCAAGAATTGTACACATGAGAGCACTAATGATACAATTTTCCATATAATTATATGTTTCCAAGGGGCATAACTCTTTTAAAAATAATTGATCATCACTGATTTTTGAACTCGTCTAAGACATTGCTGATATAAACCTATGATATAAGTTTTATCAAAATCTGCCAAGAATTGTACATGTGAGAGCGCTAACAAGACCGGACGGACGGACGCCCGGATGCCTGGTATTTCTATTCCTCCCGCAACATGTTGCGCGGGGAACAAAAAGAAGACATCTTTATAGGTCAACACAAAGTCTTGATCAATAAGCAAATTTACAAACCATTTGACAAAATTTGAATGATCCCAAACCAAAGATCTAAAATCTGCAACATCTTCATTAATCTGACATGCAACACAAAGAGAGATAAGACTTCTGACTTAGGAATTCCTCTTCAAAATACATTTATAAAAGGAGATGTGGGTTATATGTCATTGAGACCACTACCCAACTATACAAAAAGTCTAGACAAGTGTATATACACTATGTTAAGCTCTAAGTCATCCTGAATCTAGACAGATAGTTAATAAATCTAATGGACACTATTAAAGATCTGCTATCATACCAAATTCCCTAGAGGACAAAAACATTAAGATATACATGTAGGGCTTACAATAATATTTAACTACCAGTTCTCAATGCTGGCCCTTTTATCTCAAAAGGAAGAGTATGTGAAAGTGAAAAAAACAGCAATAAAATAAATCAATACATTTTGTTATGGTATGCATTTCTGTCATTATAAACCAAATGACTGTTAAAAAGCACAAAGTAACATGTATAAGTAGAAGGTTAGCTTCAAATGAACAATACTTCATTTGAACTTGGGTGGATAGTTGTCTCATTGGCATCTCCTTATTTTTAAATAGATGTAGCATGAGCTTCAGCTCACTTCTTTCTTTTCATCCTCTTTCTTTGGAGTGAAACAAGATACATATATATATATTAAACAAAATTGATGTACACAACATATTGTAGATAACCACATAGCTTAGGTCACCAATGTCAAACTTGGTATAAAATATCAAGAAGGAATGATTTGTAGTTGTTGAGAAAAATGTGAAGAAAATTTATTACATGTACATCAATGGGAAGAACATTACCAGTAGGTGGCAAACAGGAAGTGGATTAATGATATCTCGGAAAGTGTGTCACACTGTATTGCTTTTCAATACGAAGCTTTGTGTACCTAATATCCAGGAGCTTTGATTTGTAGTTGCTGAGAAAGAAAAATGGGAAAGAAATGTGTTACGGACAAACAGAGGTTAACCAGTATATCACCCTTCCCTTTGGAGCGAGAGTATAACTAATGGTTCCAAGAAGCCAGGATCACATTCCTGGTAAAAATATGCGATATGAAATATGCCTTAGCAACAGTGGCATCATCTTTCTCACTTGGAATATTTAATAAAAAAAATGGTTAAGTCACCTAAAAACTATTACCTCAACTAGCAGGAATAACTTATATATGTTGCTTTATTTTCATTGTAGATCTTGATTTGCTCATTTTATTTTTTGACTGTTTACAGTTTTTCTCTATCTGTATAGAAGTATAAGAAACTTGTAACTGCAAAAAAAATCTAAAATTTGTAAAAAATTGTCAGTTGCTCACTTTATTTTTGGCTGTTTACAGTTTTCTTCTATCTGTTATATTTTTAAGTATATAAGTATAAGTGTAAGAAACTTGTAACTGCAAAAAAATTTAAAATTTGCAAAAAATTGTCATTTTTGAATAATTTGTAGATCTGGTCATCTGATAATTTTTGCAATAGAAATAATCTCTCTATCATTGCAGATTTCTAAGTAAAAGCCCCCCAAAAACCACCATGTAAAAAAAAATACATTTCAGGGGCAATATCTCCAAAATGGGTTGTCCAATTTTTTTTAAATTGAAGGTAGATAAATTTAGATTTGTTGATCATATTCACCCAAAATGTTTAGCTCTAACTTCTTTAATCATTTCTATATTAGTAAAAAATTGCAGTTTTACCCCTATGTTCTATTTTTGAAATTGTGATCATGTTTGTTGACGAATCAGAATCCCTGATATAGTTTATAAACTTAATAGTCCAATGAACATTCACACAAAATTTGATTAAAATCCATTTGTGGTTTTAGAGAAGATTTTGAAAAATGTTAATGCCAACCATGGACAACAATGCACACCAGGTGATGGCAATACCTCACATGGAACTTTTGATGAGCTAAAAAGGCAATGTGGGGCATATGTCAATACAAGAGTGCACATGCTGAAATGTCTCACCTGCTTTATTGACCATTGATTTTATGTTGATAGTCCTAAATATAAAGTTTTACTACAAGTATCACATTAACTTAACATGATCCAAGAAAATGAGCTCAAGGTCAGATAAACCAAGCCAGAAATACATGTACACCTTACAATCATTCCATACACTGAATATAGTTGACCTATTGTTTATAGTATACAAGAAACAGACCAAACCATGAAAACTATATATTAAACAAAGAACCATGAAAATAAAGTCAAGGTCAGATGAACCCTGACGGACAGACATGTACACCTTACAATCATTCAATGGATCAAATATAGTTGACTTATTGCATATAGTATCTAAGACAAAAACTTAAACAGGAAAAATGAATATTGACCAATGAACCATGAAAATGAGGTCAAGGTCATATGATACCTGCCAGACAGACATATACACCTTACAATCATTCCATACACCAAATATAGCTGACCTATTACTTATAGTTTAAGAAAAACAGACCAAAACCTCAAAACTTAACTTTAACCACTGAACCATGAAAATGAGGTCAAGGTCAGATGACACCTGCCAGCTGGACATGTACACCTTACAATCATTCCATACACCTAATATAGTAGACCTGTTGCTTATAGTATCTAAGATAAGGACTTGACCACGAAAACTTATCCTTGTTCACTGATCCATGAAATGAGGTCGAGGTCAAGTGAAAACTGTCTGACAGGCATGAGGACCTTGCAAGGTACGCACATACCAAATATAGTTATCCTTTTACTCATAATTAGAGAGAATAAAATTGAGAATGGAAATGGGGAATATGTCAAAGAGACAACAACCCGACCAAAGAGCAGACAACAGCCGAAGGCCACCAATGGGTCTTCAACGCAGTGAGAAAATCACGCACCCGGAGGTAGTCCTCAGCTGGCCCCTAAACAAAATTGTGCACTAGTTCAGTGAAAATGGACGTCACACTAAAATCCAAATCATATAAATGAATTAAAATTAAAAATCATACAAGACTTACAAAGGCCAGAGGCTCCTGACTTGGGACAGGCGCAAAAATGCGGCGGGGTTAAACATGTTTTGTGAGATCTCAACCCTCCCACTATACCTCTAGCCAATGTAGAATAAAGAAACACATAGCAATACACACAGTAAAAATTCAGTTCAAAAGAAGTCCGAGTCAGATGTCAGAATAGGTAACAAAAGAAACTAAGCAAAATGACAATGATACATAAATGAACAATGGACTACTAGCAGTTACTGACATGCCAGCTCCAGACCTCAATTAAACTGATTGAAAGATTATGTCTTCATCATATGAAAATCAAGTACAATCCCTCCCTTTAGGGTTTAGTATCATACCATCATAAAATATATGAGAAGAACATAACCCGTATCATGCCAACAACTGGTTATAGAATAAATGTGTTTATTTCCGATGCAAAGACATTACAAAAAATTTGAACTTTTTATTCAAGTAGTCACTGAACCATGAAAATGAGGTCAAGGACAATGGACATATGACAGACAGAAACTTCGTAACATAAGGCATCTATATACAAAGAATGAAGCATCCAGATCTTCTGCCTTCTGAAATATAGAGCTTTTAATTAGTTAATTAACGCCGCCTCTGGATCACTATCCCTAAGTCGAGCTTTCTGCAACAAAAGTCACAGGCTCGACAAAAATAGCAACCTGACAGCACAACTAAAGACATCAAAAAGTCAAAACACAGCCATTGGTCATAGATAGGTGTCTTTACAATATGTCAAGCTCATGACTTCTGTGGACCTGGTTTGGACTTTCCAAGAAATATTCAAACAGAATTTTATTACGAAAGAAATGTTACTTTTCCACAGATTCACTTTAAGGTTACCTGTCGATTTAAACTTTTGTAAGTTCTTTTGTCCCATCTAGTTAATGCAATAGCTATTGTTCTCTGTGGAGTTTATTCAATGGGACCTTTAAATTTCTTCCAAGAGAAATCCATCACTCATTGATTAATTTACCTGAACAAAAATTTAACTTTCAATCCTGAAAAAACATGTACCAATACTAAATAAGGACACACAAAACTGCATGCGATGTTGTATTTATTCCATATCAATAATACATTTTCAATTTGTTCAGTATAAACACTGATTCAAACATTAAAAGTTGATTTCTGAAAAATGATTAGTATTGTAACTATTGAAATTTGTTTTTGTGTGTTTGATAATTAAAAACTGGAAAATGATGATGTTTAAATTAAGGCCTTCTTAACTGTATTCTACAACTAGACAAACACAACAAAAATGCAAATTTCAATAGGAACAATGCTAAAATTTTTGTCAGAAATCAACTTTTTATAATTATAAATTAGTGTTTATATTGAACATATATTATTGATATTGAATAAATACAACATCACATGCAGTTTTATGAGTTGAAACATGTACATGTATTTTCATCAACTAAGAATGTTTTTGGTCGGGTAAATTAATCATTGAATGATGGATTTCCCTTAGAAGAAATTTAAAGGTCCAAGTGAATAAACTACACAGAGAACAATAGCTATTGTATTTATTGGATGGGTCAAGTGAACTGACAAAAGTTTAAATACCTTGACCAAGTGGAGATGACTCTGTGGAAAACTTTCATTTGGTTCGCAATAAGCATAGTAATTAACAGCAACTCTTAGTAGTAAGCTTTCACTTTATTAGAAAAAAAAGAAAATAATAATATTACAATGTTATCTATGTATATACTTTGAAAATAATAACAATATATGGTTATAATTTATAATTAACTTCAATGATGTATAAAAAATATTTGTTAACATACAAATGCAACATAACACATATATTGAAAATAAAAAATAAAAAACTTAAGTAACAAAAGAATTTATACGATCTCTTTCAGGGGAATATTGCAAGGGATGCAAAATAATCAAGTTTAAAAGACACCTTAATTCAAATGCAATTTGTAAAATAATATTATAAAAAAAATAATCAAAATACATGTAATTCAAAACATTGTATGGTAGAAAAAAAAATTCCTTAAAAAGTTGTTTCAAACTTTGCTACCAAAGTGAAAATCTAAATTCCAAATGACAAAAAAATGCTGTTGTTGTGTAAGGTCCATGATGGAACATTATATTTTTTACAATTCTCCATGCATCAATTCTGAATTCAACCTATTGTTGACATAATTGCCTAACCATGACCATTTGACCTTTGTATCTGATTGCATCATCCATCTTGTATGTGCAGAGATGCAAATAAACAAATGACAATGTACAAAAGATAGTAAATTCTAAAAAAAAAAAAAAAAAAAAAGTTGTCAAATACTTTGTGATTAAAAAATATTCAAAAATTAGCAATTTCTCATTTTACAAATTACATTTTTGTTCATGTTATCAATTAACCAGCAAAATCTAGGTGTCTTATAATCCAATAATCATAGCATTTTATACAAAATCTTGCTATTTTGCTATTTTTATATCAGATCTTCTTTAGTTGGCATATTATAAAGTCTTTATAACTATTGCAATGAAATGAAAAAAAGACATGTACATGTAATAAGATATAGTATAGAAGAGAAATCTGAAACATATCGTTTACTTAAGTATCTGATGGTGACTCTGACCCAATCTCCCATACATATAATGCATTTGTGATGTTATAAGTTATTTATAAATGAGATCTTTTTTCTGATAAACAGGATATATTTCACTTAGAACCACCTTCAATACCCCATTACAAATACATTAATCATGTATGTATGATACCTAGGTTAACTTGGTTATGTTGCAAGCATATACCTCTCCAATACATTTAAAATTCTATAGTAATTATTAGAATCTAAGATAGGAAAAACTGCTATGAATTGTTGTATGGTTAAAAAGGTGATGCAAGTATATTACTAATGTTTACATGAAGATTGGAAAATTATAAAAATTACTTTATTATTAAATAAACTTACCCTGTACAAGATTACTTTAGCAATATTGATTATTAATGTAATCAGACAGTCATAAAATATATAGACCAATCATACAAAATTTCAATTTTCAAAAGTTTAATTTAAAACATTTATTTTAAATATGAAAAGTCATTTTGAATGATAGTCTTGTCTACCAAGCCAAAATGAAAAAAAAACATAAAAATATGAATCAATTTGCAGCTCTATTGTAAATATATAGAGGGAAAATTCTTTTGTGCACACCTTTTTGCACTAAATAGTAGCCAAAAAAATATTCAGGCTGGTATATTTAAAAGGCACTACAGATGGACAACACTGGTGGACAGATCTATCTGAATCAGATTAGAAGGACAGTTAAATCTAAAAATTAAGCTGATATATGTTAAAATAATTAACAATTAAGAAAGGCAATTTCAGCTTCCCTTTCAATGGACCAGATGTGATATCTTATTCCTAAAAAGTATATGAGAGAAATTTGAATCTTACTGCCTCTATTTTAAATGCCTTTCCTGAATGCAAATTTAAATGGATTAAACAAAAATCAAACAACCTATAGCCTATAGATACCAAAAGAGATATTAAATCCCCCTAAAACCCAAACCAATACAACCTAGTGAAGTTTAAAATAAATTGATACTTCTACAATGAGAAGATTTATTCACCTTGTTCTAAATATGGCAGCCATTTTTACAGTACCCTGTAAATTGAATACAGTAAACTCTTATTATAATTGCTAGAAACAAGAGCATCAATAGCCATTAAACATGATAAAATTCAAAGTAACAAAGCAATATTAACTAAATCTAGCTGTAGTTAGTACTATGCACCAAAATTTTCATTATAATCCTCATATTCAGAATATGTACATTTACACTGTATACAATCGAAACAAGACATGAATCAATTTTGGGATTATTTTCAAAAAAATAAACAACCTTATAAAAACAGACCAATGAAAATATCAGAAACACATATTCGTACACTCATCATGACCTTTATTTACATATACATTAGGGTCACATTGATTCAACCTTGTCATTGTGTATGTACAAAAGTCAAGTAAAATTATCTGGAGATACAAATATATTTTAGGTACTCTCTATTTTAAATGTGTAATGAATTTTAAATGTTGTAAGGCAATTAACATTTCTCATTCTCATTTTTGTCAAAACTTGCAGCTGATAACAAAGAAAAGTGTTATTTCATCAAGTTAAAATATTTCAAACAATTGTGCACACTCTAAATTGTCTATCCTGTTCTCCTAATCATGATAGAAATTTATGTCCAAAGTCATCCAGATCATAATCTAAAGCAGGTATTATTTCTACTCAACATTATAAATGATCCATGAAAAAGATGTCAAGGTCAGAAGAACCCTACAAGACAGGCATGTGACCTAACTTCATAGTTGACCTATTGCTTATTGATCTTAGAAACAGACCTTATCACTAAAAGTTAAAGTTGACCAATGAAACATGAAAATAAAGTGAAGCTCAGATGAATTCTGTCAGACAGATATGTACACCTTACAATCAGCATGCAGCTTCTCCTGTAATTGCTTTAACTAATTTTTATTCATGGAAAAAGTAGTAACTTCTGAAGAGCTATACCGTTTCCTTGTTAATTCGATTGCATCTTGTAGAAAAAATGATGAGGAATTGAATCCAAGTATAATTAATTTTAAGAGTTGAAAGATTTAAATGGTATTTTATCAAGTTTTTGACAACTTGTCTGAGGTGATTAACCTTGGTCATTGTTGTCCAATTTTGAGCTATGTAGTATTAGGCTCTGTTTTTTTTCACTATGAAATGTTTTAATGCAATAGATTCCATTCAGAAATATAACCTATACAAAAATTACATGTACATATAGAAGCATTTCAAACTATTCTGCTGTCAGCATCTAAAATGTTATAAAGTGCCTGAGTTTTTTTCGCAAACCTTTCTTTAACTTAACTTTCTATGTTTGTTTCCTTTATTTTTGTCTACAGTAATATTTGATACCAATCAAACAGCATACATATTATTATCAACCTTGTCATAGAACCAAGACTCAAAGGAAAACTTCCACAATATTGTTATTGAATGTATGAGTTACTAAATTTGAGCGGGTTCAGCCTCTTCAGCTTTATCTTTTCTCGTCATGAGATTCAACTCTGTACTGGTCTCTTCTATGTATTTCTGTAAGTATATAAATATTAGTTTACATCTAAACATTTTTTGGCAAGTGGTCAACATTTTAAAAAAATTTTGAAGAACGCTGGATACCTATACTGTATATATTTGAACATTGTTGAAGGCCCTATGGTGACCTATAGTTGTTAATATCCCAGGGGGATAGCTGTTTCATTGGCAATCATACCATGTCTCCTTATTTATATGTTTTGGAGGAAAACAAGTAATTAAAATGTATGGTAATGTCGTAATAAGCAAGAGTTTTGATTCACACGGATAGTTAAAGAATGGTGGTGATAGTAACAGATTAACTGCATTTAAACAGGAATAATAAACTGCTGATAGGAAAACTTTTCAAAGCATCTCATACAGTCATTTAGTCATTTATGGACATATTTTAAGGAAGAAATCCAGTTCACACATAACAGTTGGCTGTTCAAAACTATATTTTAAGAAAGAAAATAAGTGATTGCTAAAGGGTAGTCATGTTCTTTTGAACACAATAATTTGCATTAAGTTTAGCAACAATTGACTCAAGATTATATTTTGGGGGAATGTAATGTACTAGATGTCCAATGTATGATACCTGGAAAGTCATTTCATGAATATTCATATGCTTACAAGCAAAACCTGAAATTTCATTTAGTCATATAAATATTATTCACTTTGAAAGCATCAAAATGCTCTAATCCTTTACAAACATAATTTTTCATTCTAAACATGTGGGTCAATATCCCTAATGCCGGCTAATGGGCCTCAAATTGAGGAACACAAAAGTTGTTCGTAAACAAAATCTCTGTGTAGTGATATTGGACTTGTTTCTATTTTTAACAAGTTCTGAGCTTAACCATTTGTGTTGATTTGGAAAGTAGAGGACCATAGAATAAATGTGTAAAAACTAAGGAGTTATTAAATGTATTCAAAGTATTAAATTTTCAAAGAACTTATTGTGAGTAAAGGGATTTTTTACCACAAGGAGCCGCATCACGAAAGGATTTTCGGAGTGTGCTAATTTACAGAAAAATGAATCTCAATTTGTACCCCGAAAATTTAACCACATATGTGAAAATGTCTCTGCTTTGAAACGAGCCATCATACATATCCAAGTTTACAATATGACCTGAGCTAGAGAAGAAAACGTTACCATTACGGCCTATAGGAAATCAATTACGCATACTGACCCATGTGTAGTTGGTTGCTTTTCAAACATTAATTATGTAAATATGACAGTGAAGACTGTTTGCCAAACTTAGAAAGGCATATTGATATTCTAAAATTTTAAAAGTTGAACTTAACTATAGCCAAGTGTTTTTCTAATAAAAAAAAATCACATTTAAAAGTCAGAGGGTCATACAGTAATTTGAAAATACTCTTCTTTGTGCAACCAAAGACATTAATATAAATGTCATTTCCAACTAGCTTTTGCTCTTATTGGTTAATATTGTTTGCCATGGGGAGATGTGGAAGTTCTTTAAGTAAAAAGAATAAATAATTTTGATTATGCTAAAATTTAAAATTTAAATAGTTGTTTTTGAATGGACTTAATTTCTCTGTCTCTTTATTGCGTCTTGCACTTGATTTGATTGTCTTTCATAATTATCAAATATTACTATCATTTTCAACACAGATGCTTCTATGTATGTACTATACAGTTTTGATAAAATGTATATAAAATTGAGAATGGAATATATATGTTTCTGCAGACTACTCTCGTTAATTCTTTTTTATATAATAAATGTAAAGCACATCTTTGAACTTACAATATGAATAACATTCTTAATATAATTCTTAGTTTAAAAAAAGTCATTTCATGCACAAAATTTAAAAGAAAAACAAAAAAGATGTATTACACTTATATATTCATTATTTAAACTTCTGTAACTGCTTTGTATTAATATTGCTTTATTACTAGAAACTTCTATAGAACTGAATATCTTATGCATGATTCATTTTTGATTAGATGAAAGAGAAAGTCTAAAATTGCTAGCATCAACAGGTTTGGGTTAAGGTTTACATCTTAACCCAAACAAGCATTCACTAATTTTCTTTCAAATGGTCTGTTCAATTTTGAAAATTACTAAATTTTATTGCTCAGGTGAATCAGAGTTCCACCTCAGCAATTTAGGTTTTAAAACATTGGTCTTGAAGAAAATCAAAATAAAAAAGACCATTTATGAGATAGTTAAACATCTCTTTCCATTTGGTCTAGAGGAATAGAAACTATTATATAATTCTATTAAGAAGCATTTAGGAGTTAATATGTTTCTATTGTTTGAGTTAACTTACTAGAAACATATTTGAAGAAAGAATTGCAGTTCACACATCTGCTCATAATTACATTATAAGACAGAAAAGAAGACACACATTTGAATATATCAAAGGCATAAATGACAATGTAGCACTTTGAAGCAAGAGAGTTTAGTTAAAATGAATTGTATTGCTCAAATACAAAACTGGATAAGACACAAGTCAAACAGACATTTGTCTGTATAACAGAGTGAAACAAATAAGCAAGAAATTATATTGTGGCAAGCAATCTTTTTCTTTTTACTTTTATAGAATGCTACTGAGTGACAAATTTAGCATTTACAAACAAGATTTGAATGCTTTTTCACTTCATTGCATGCTGCTGTAAAACAAATGTATCTGCATATTGCCTAGCTGCTATTTTTCAGTTTAATGTCATGCTGTTTTATGATAGAATTATTATAATTTAGACCATGTTACCTTATTGTATGAATTGATGAAAGACTGAATATCAAAATAGTATAAAAAATACATCTTAGTTAAGCTACAAAATATATCAATAAAACAGTTATACATATTATACTATTTAGCTATCTATCAGTATTCACAGAAGCTTTGTTACTTTTTCTACTCTTTAAATAGAACATGATATTAACAGTTATACATATTATACTATTTAGCTATCTATCAGTATTCACAGAAGCTTTGTTACTTTTTGTACTCTTTAAATAGTACATGATATTAAGGTGGCTTGATTAAACTGCACAGAAAGTTACCATACTGATAAAGATACATTTTGTGTGGTAAAAAAATAGATATTGTGAATTTTCGATTGATATAAATGATGGATCATTTGCATTTGTCATTAAAAGATGAAGTGATACATTTATTTCAAATGTGTCTATAGGCTTCTCGTTATCTAAGATGGAAAGTTGTGAACTTGCTAACGATACGTTCAAGTCTAATTAGTATTTGATGTGTCACAAGTATTGATACCATCCATATCAATATGTGTCTTCAGATATTTTCTCATTTTTGTTTCATTTCATATTGAACCAAATTATCTCCCTTTTCTTGCCAAAATTTCATAAAAATGTGAAATATTTATAACCTATTCTGTGACCTCAATTGTTAATTATTTGATCCCTTACTTTTAAAATTTAAAATACAAAATTCTGACAAAAAGTTCTATTACCCCTGAGCCACCTTAAACTGGATACAATACAATACAGTTTTTCAATGTAGTAAAATGTTTATTCTAAGGTTAGTGTTAGTACCATGCTACATCTAATGATAATTGGCCATTTTCTAACCATTAGTGTCAAACAAACTTTTTTAACATCTTGTCAACATTTTTCAAATGGTTAAGTTGAATACCATGTATGTCAAATGAAAATACATTTTGCAAATTTAAATAAGTATTGCACTATGTAAAGCATTCTAATAGATGTGTTTTAGTAATTTCTATAGTCTATTGTTTAACAACATTTATATACTTTTTGTGTATAAATAATAAACAGGAAACTTTTAATGTATTAGACTTACACGTAATTTGTCGCTGGCATAATATGGTCGACCATCTGTTCCATCATTATCATCAACATCAGCAACAAAACAGAGAAGTAAGGCATCAATTACCATCTGAAATGTGATCAGAGGATTATATTGTCATACAAGAAAGTACAATAAAACATTTTTTTCATTTTGAAATATGTTTCAAATGTTTCTAATAGCAAACGTATGACCAATTTTTCAAGAAATGAGAACTTTATTTATTTTGCATGCTTTTGATTTTAATTGGAAAGTTTGAAAGTCTGTAAAAAACATATCATTTATCTCAGAAAAAATTTGAATTTGAAGTCAATATGTCTTTGCTCTTTATAATACACGAAATATCTATCTGTATATCTTTCTTTCCAGGATTGAACACATGACTTTTGTGCAATAGGGCAAGTAAATATATTAACATTTGACACAATTACAATATCAGCAAAACTGTGTAGTCTCTAAAACAAATTAATCCAGTTCTTCTACATGATTTTATAAAATTCTTACCTCATATACAGATAAAAAGCAATGTGCAACAAAATAGGCAAATACACACACTAACAGCACTGGAACGGCATAAAAATGAAGTTCAGATTTGGTCTAAAAATTAAAAATAACAGTTCATTAAATCTTATATAAACACATTGCAAAATTAAATGTTACAAACATATGAAAATCAGACACAGACAAAGAAGAAAAACATCAAATAAACAAACGATTTTCAGATGGCAGTGAATTACTTCATATTAATATTCGGTCAAAAAATTCTTCAAATGTTCTAACTTTCTAAATACAAATAGTTTTTGTAACATTTCAAGGGGATTTATTTCATATACTTCAACTTATTAATTTGAATGCAACACCATCAAATAACTAAAAAAAAGAACAAATGTACCAACCTTAAACCACACTATTCCAACTGCACCAGTAGCTGCTGTCACACCTATCTTCCCCAAAAATAAAATGAAATCGCCCACACTATTTATAGCTGCAACTCTCAAAGCATTAGCTATTATTGTGAAAAATGCCTACAATGAAAATAAAGACTTAATCAACATTTTCATAAAAATCTCCAGGCTTTTTATATAATCATTTTAATAGTAAAAATAGTGATATGGATTAAAAGTTTAGCCACACATATCTTTAAAAATAATTTTACATATCAAATTTTCTTCATTCATTTTTGACGATAAAACAATTGATAAGCTAAGCTTCTTGTCACTAAATCCTTTGTATGTGTACTGATTGGTAATTTAGTATTGGAAGCATTGTTTATTTATTACTTGGCACTGAACTAGCTTCCAGTAACTCTGAGTACTCTTTGTGTTGTCTTTTTGTTAGTGATTTTGTGTGCTTAGTGCAGATCAGCTGAATTCAGCCTTTTTCAACTGATTGTTATAGTTTGTTCTCATTTTGTTAAGAAACACCACTGTCCCAGGTTAAGGGAAGGCTATACTGAGCCCTATAGATCCTTTGGTCTTTGGTAGATAGTTGTCTCAATGGCAATCATACTATATGTCCTTATTTTCATAAACTAAAAATTCGTTTATGAAGCAACTATCTTAGTGTACTGCAATTTATAGTTTTTTTCTCAAATAATTGAAATTTAAAAATTACCTTCCTTGCAGATGTACAGAAACTTGTTCCATTTATTGCTGAAATTATATACAAATAATGAATGAATTAATCATCCAACCATTTGGCAAATACAGCATTTTGTAAACACGAAAATAATAATTCAGAAACATTGCAAATGATCTCATACACCCCAAACAAATGAATGAGTAGTTATATCATGTCCATTTATGCTCAGGTAATATGCTTTTATCAAGAACTCGACCTGAAATCTTTCATTTTTTTCACAAACACCCAAAGCTATACTAAATTTTGTTTAAAAGTAGATCAAAACTTTTGTCAAAAGAAATAAACTGAATCTGTATAAATCTGCATACTTACCAACAACTGTGTAGGCATTTTGATTTAGAAATTTAAGACACTTCTCCAAACAACATAGACAACAAATACAACATTTCAAACAATATTCAGCACACTTGTTACTCCCCGCTGATGACTTTAGTCTGTAAAATAAAAATATCAATACTTAAAAACCTTGCAAATTAATGTCTCATTTAATCATGTGACCTTAGAAAATGTTAGATCAGTTTACAACTGTAAAGTTGGCTTTAAAGTGACCTGATGACATGAGGCAATTTTTAAATTTGAGCTTGAAACCTAAGGGGGTATCTACCCGAGTCCCATGTCAAAAAGACAGCAGACACATATTAAAAGATTGGACTGTAGTTTGTAGAACTGTAGAATTAACCATTGAATGAAAGACTTTTGGGAGTTATTTTCTGTACCACAATAAAGGTTCATTTTGTTAAGAATAACCTGAGATTTTAGGTTTGATTGCAATCTTGAATTTAATGTGAAGTGTTTGAAATTTTTTCTACGTGAGTTTGAACAGCAGGAAACTAAGTCCTGAACATGTAACAAATATTTGCCACTGGACAATAAGCAAATAACACTCAATTCCAGCAAGAAGCAAGTCACTTAGCAGTGCTGGAGTTGTAGTAATGTGAGTGAGTGTCAACTAAATGTGGATCTACAGACTGCACCTCTATTTCTGTCCTGTTGATAGAAAGACATTTTAAAGTGCTCAACTAAAATAAAATTTAATCAAGAATGCGTCCATAGTAAATGGATGCCCCACTCGCACTATCATTTTCTATGTTCAGTGGTCCGTGAAATTGGGGTCAAAACTCTAATATGGCATTAAAATTAGAAAGATCATATCATAGGCAACATGTGTACTAAGTTTCAAGTTGATTGGACTACAACTTCATCAAAAACTACCTTAACCAAAAACTTTAACCTGAAGCGGGACAGACTGACCGATTGACGAACGAATGGACGAACGAACGAACGTAGGTGGGGCATAAAAAATTAAACTGTTTCAATTATACTCACTTTTTGTGTATATACATAAGTATCATTCGAGGAAGTTTGACCAATGTGATGACAAAGGCTCCAAAGGCTACTGATCCCAGATGATAAAATATCATCATCTTCATAGATTTACATATGGTGCAGCTTAAATCATTTCTATTTCTACAAAATAAATTGAAACATGCATTCAAAAAAGGCACAACTTAATCTTTTTTATTCATACTGTTATATTTTTTTTATTATCGTGGCATTAGCAGCTTTCAACAGTTATAAAATAAAATTAATGCTATTTTGTCCTCGACACCAAGCTTCTAATATTCAGCTAGATTGGTTTGCTTCCTTGTTATGCAGTAAATAGATTATACTACCACAGTTGTATGACAAAGTTTGATAAGGTCAATTGTGACGTAAATGCAGATTTAAATAAATGGGGAATGTGTCCATGGGACACAGATGATGCCCCCGCTTGCATATAATGTTATAAAGGGACATAACTCAAGAACTAGTGACACTACCCAAATTTGTACTTGATCTGAGTTTTGTGGTAATAAGTATTGTGTATAGGTTTCATATCATTTGGTTGAGGCAAACTTAAGTTAGAGAAAGACAACGAAAAAACCAGCAATTTTTCCATTTGTAAAGGGGCATAATTCTAGAACTGTAAAAGTGACACCACCAAAATTCAAACTTGATCTGTGTTTTGTGGTAATAAGCATTGTGTATAAGTTTCACAACATTTGGTTGAGGCAAACTAAAAGTTAGAGAACAGAAACAAAAAATTTTGCAATTTTTCCATTTGTAAAGGGGCATAACTCTAGAACGGTAAAAGTGACACCACCAAAATTCAAATTTGATCTGTGTTTTATGGTAATAAGCATTGTGTATAAGTTTCACAACATTTGGATGAGGCAAACTTAAGTAAGAGAATGGAAACAAAAAATTTAGTAATTTACCGTTTGTAAAGGGCATAACTCTAGAACGGTAAAAGTGACGCCACCAAAACTCGAACTTTATCTGTGTTTTATAGAAATAAGCATTGTGTATAAGTTTCATAAAATTTGGTTGAGGCAAACTTAAGTTAGAGAACGGAAACAAATTTTGGGACGTACGGACGGACGTATGTACAGACGGACAAGGGTAAAACTTAATGCCCCCTCCGCTACGGCGGGGGCATAAAAAAATGATATTAAAGTTTGATAGTATTGTGCTATTTCAAATATAGAACGACTCTACATTCATGGAATATTTATTGATCCCATTTCCCTTAGCCATCAATGCATCTAAGTCTGAATAAGCAATATTCAATGGATGCAAATTCGTCAACTTGTATCCCCTTATCATAAGCCTCAAAACTATAGAAAAAAAAAAGTCACAATAGTTGGCACGCACCTGCTAAAATACCATGTAGCCACAGTTCCTGATACTACAAGTTGTTGACAAGCAATGATAAATTCACTGGTCCATATCAAACCTATTAGATGATACCACCAGAAATAGGATACAGTCTCGTGTTCTCTATAATCAATATGTCCAGTAACATTATTATATTCTCTTATCTCTGAAATAAATAAATTATAAATATATATATTTTCATCATACTACATCCGAGCAAGTAATTGAAGCTATACAATCACATATTTACTATTACACCACTGTCCCAGGTTTAGGTCTGGGGTGGGGGGTAAGGGGTTGAGCACTCACACATATGTTTAACCCCATCATATTTTTTATAAGCCAGTCCCAAGTCAGGAACCTGTTATTCAGTGGTTGTCGTTGATTGCTCTCTGCCATATTTGATTTTCCTTTATTGCTTTTAGCATTCATCAGGTTGTTGGTTTTCTCTTTTGAATTGTTTTACATTTCGTCATGAGGAGGCCTTTTATAGCTTACTATAGGATATGTCTTTTGCTCGTTGTTGAAGGTCTTAAAGTGCCCTTTAGTGGTTTACCTCCTTGTCCTTCAAACTCAAATCTTTATTAAAACATTGATTTGTCTGATAGTACATGTGCCACCTTTTTTGAAAGTTTTGCAAAGAAAATAAGTGGGGTCTAATTTCTTCAAAGGGATAAATTTCAAACTACTCCTAAATGATAGTGACTGGCAGATAATGGACTGATGGCATTCTGTCACATTCTGTATGTGCCTGTCCCAAGTCAGGAGCCTGTAATTCAGTGGTTGTCGTTTGTTGCTGTATATCATATTTGGTTTTCGTTCATTATTTTGTACATAAATCAGGCCATTAGTTTTCTCATTTGAATTGTTTTACATTTGTCATTTTGGGGTTTTTTATAGCTACTATGCGGTATGGGTTTTGCTCATTATTGAAGGCCGTACAGTGACCTATAGTTGTTAATTTCTATGTCATTTTGTCGCTTGTGGAGAGTTGTCGCATTGGCAATCATACCACATCTTATTTTTATATGATGAGAATCTAAATGAAAAATAGGTTTTGATTGCTCATGGCAAAACACAGTCAATATATTTTAGTTCATTCTAAAAATTTACAAGGTTGAAAATGACAAAAGCTTTACCACTTTTTTTTAAAATTCAAGTCTGAAAGTATGATCTAGGTGCATACAACTATTACATTTAATATCAGTTAAAATAGCCAACTAACCTGATGTTGATAGATATGCCAGTATAATAACCCAGTAGAAGAAGAATGCCATTAGAAGTAAAAATGTCCACAATGGCTGTACTAGTAGTAATGGTACAGTGGACAAACAATCTCCTGCTTCATAGAACAATGCTACAACCAAACCAACTCTCTTCCTCATTACTAAGATTATTAAAAGAAGGATAACCTGAAAAATTAACATTATATAAATAACTTCATAACTTATTGGCAAATGATTGGAACAATTTTGTTCATTGTTTTGTAGATCAATCAATAAAATATCAGAAATAACAGCTTATCGAAGTAAAAAAAAAAATCACGGGAAAGTCACAAAGTAAACAGTAAACAGCCTGTCCCAAGTCAGGAGCCTCTGGCCTTTGTTAGTCTTGTATCATTTTTAATTTTAGTTTCTTGTGTATAATTTGGAGTTTAGTATGACGTCCATTATCTCTGAACTAGTATACATATTTGTTTAGGGGCCAGCTGAAGGACGCCTCCGGGTGCAGAGTTTCTCGCTTCATTGAAGACCCATTGGTGGCCTTCGGCTGTTGTCTGCTCTATGGTCGGGTTGTTGTCTCTTTGACACATTCCCCATTTCCATTCTCAATTTTATAGTACTCTAAGAACAATTATTTTAGAATTAATAATAAAACTTGAGCTTTAAATTCACATTAACAGATCATTGAAGCTGGAGCAATGTTGGTCTGCTGTTTCAACATTAACCATCTATATCTTAGGACTAAGTATTATATATAAAGTACATACTGTTAAGATTGAGGCTATGATTGAGTAAACAAGGAAAGCTGTTTTAGCCCTAACTTCAATGTCCAGAAGTGGAATCTTGTGCATTATATCATCATTCAGGTCATTCACTATATCTGCATATGTCCACCATAAGAACCCAGTAGCAGCTGTAATAGATATAAAGTTAAAATTTATCAAATTTGTTTTTTATTTTTAAATTCTAGTTAAAAACAGCTGCACCACTACTACTACAGGGTGTTTAACAACCTTAACTACCGACGAGGGTCTAGCACAGTCAATATATTACAGCTGCACCATTTTTGCATGCTACCCTATCGCTCTTATTTAAACCATAAAGGGCACATTTCTTCCAAAATGACAAATCTGAAAACAGAATTAACAGTGAGGTAAATTATATTGGTTTAAAACTGTTGTAAAATTTTAAAGGATTAGGAGAAAGAAAACTGGACTTCTGTCAGATACACAAGACCTTGCCTTTATTTCTCTGCAATGACAATTCAGCAACTGGGCAAAAATTGTTCAGTTTATATGCATCAACGGAAATCGTTTTCATCTTGAATTGGACTTAAACTTTGGGACCGAATAGGGCATGATACCCACACACTACTCCATTAGTAAGATCAATCTGATACATCATAAATGAAATAAAAACTTTGTCCATAGAAGTGGCACAATTGTTATTTAAAAATAATCAACAACCCAACTTCTGGCTACTTCATCTCTCTTTAATCAGCATAATATACACAATGACAGGGGACCAGTATCCCTGTACTACACCCTCCTCCCAATTCATACCGTAACAACATATAATTACCTAAACTGGCTACTATAGCTACAGCTAAGATGACATATACAATGATGGAAGCCATGAATCTGATCAGTAAAACCATTATTACAGCAAAAACTGTAAATTAAAATAAGATTCGTTACATTAAGTGTCACAAACTGTTATTCTGTCTCTATCAGTTTTATTTACAATGAACATGATGAATACAATAATTTTATTACATATAGTTTGAAAAGCCATATTTGAAAATCTTATAAAATCCTTGTTATTTTTTCATAGTTTTTGAAAGAAAAAAAGGTGCCTATGATAAATGTATGAAAATTCTAGAGAGAATCATTTCCCGCCAAATTTTCAATGGCTTATATCTCGAAAACAAGCACACAGACCTTTCATTTTTTTCTGCTTTTTTAGTTCCTTTATTCATGTACTATCAATTCATAACAGTCTTTTAAAAAGCTTGTTATTTTAAAACAGAGTAGCAAACATCCTTAAGCTGAGGGTTTAAGATCAATAATTTTTTGAATGAATGTTATTCCTCATAGCAGTACATTAAATCAAAACAGTAAAATATAATAGTATTATTGATGTTATTATATACATAAAATAAAGAAAAATGAAAACAAAACCACATGAACAAAACAAAAGATGTGTTTGGTTAGTAACGATATTGTTGCCATAGATGTTAATAATATACAAAAAATAATCCTTTCATATAGTCATCGCAATCTTCCATCTTTTAGATAAATATCTTATTGTTATCAATATATCTTCTGATCACAGTGCTTTTTCAAATCAGAAACAAAAGGGAATTGCAGAAGTACTGATAAACAACTTCTGGCAAGTTTCTCAATAACTCACAGCTTCTAGGTATAAAGCATACCTGTTTGATTTGCTATTATTTTATGTTAAGCTTGAGTTTGCAATTGATGAAAATATTTATTGTTATAGAGAAAAGTGAAAAAAACATAAAGAACTGCTGAATGACTGCAAAAAGAATATTTATGTTCAATGGACACAAATGAAATTGGGATGTGACAAAAATAATGGAATACATGTTTGAATGACATTGATCTCACAATGAAAAATATATTCCTACCTAAAGCCAGAAGACAAAGAAGAATCATTTCTTTCCACGAAGCATAAAGATCACTGAGAGCTTTCTGGAACGTATCACTTTTATTCAGAAATTCAAAAAGATCTGCCAGTTTGTCACCCAAAACAGTAAGTTTACTGGGGACACACCTAAACAACAAATCGTCACTGAAAATAGGAAAAAAGAAATTTGCTACAAAATTAATCACATTCCAACTCAATTTCGATACAATTTATTGTATTATCATCTGATTTTGTTTTATCACTAAATAAATAAATTTTTATTTATCTATTTAGTTAGATTTTGTTCATGAAAGATTGTTATTTCAAAAATACATTTCAATTACTGTACTGGAAAATCAGCTGATAATATAACTAAAAACCAAACTGAACCAAAGAAAATGCTAGGAAAGAAACAAAACTCAGGCATAAATACATTGAGTGCTAAAATATAAAACATGATGTAGGTCACACCATAATTCACAATTTATAAAGATATGAAAAACATAAATCCAAAAGTTAGTCTTTTATGAATCTGAATAAACAGCAACTTCATTATGGAATTGGAAAAATTTACTCTGAAAATAGCATTTGAATATTACTAAAAATAATATTCAAATCTGGTTTTTAATTTGGTTCAGTTGGTTAGTAATTTCGTTAATTGTGTGTAAAATTAGTTAGGACTACATCTGTCCTTGAAAATATTAATATGGTCTGACCTAATACCACTTGCTTAAAAAGAACACATATATAATGAAAAGCTATTACAGTTGAACATTAACAGAAGAGATTTATAAATATTCAATGAACATTAACACAAGAGATTAATAATTATTCAATGAATAATAATTTTTACTTTGATTTCTCCAGTAATGGAAACCACTAAACTAAACATTAAATGAAATTAAAACACTACTAAGTTTTAATAAGATCAAATGAAAGATCATGAGACTTTGAGTCATAAAAAATACTTCCTTTTAAACAAACTAGAGGCTCTAAAGAGCCTGTGTCGCTCACCTTGGTCTACGTGCATATTAAACAAAGGACACAGATGGATTCATGACAAAATTATGTTTTGGTGATGGTGATGTGTTTGTAGATCTTACTTTACTGAACATTCTTTCTCCTTACTATTATCTCTATCTATAATGAACTTGGCCCGGTAGTAACAGTGGAAAATATATTGTAAAAATTTACAAAAATTTACAAAATTTATGAAAATTGTAAAAAATTGACTGTAAAGGGCAATAACTCCTTAAGGGGTCAATTGACAATTTTGGTCATGTTGACTTATTTGTAGATCTAACTTTGCTGTACATTATTGCAGTTTACAGTTTATCTCTATCTATAATAATATTCAAGATAATAACCAAAAACGGCAAAATTTTCTTAAAATTACCAATTCAGGGGCAGCAACCCAACAACGTGTTGCCTGATTGGTCTGAAAATTTCAGGGCAAATAGATCTTGACCTAATGAACAATTTTATCCTCATCAGATTTGCTCTAAATGCTTTGGTTTCAGAGATATGAGCCAAAAACTGCATTTTACCCTATGTATTATTTTTTGCCATGTCGGCCATCTTGGTTCGCGGGCGGGGTCATCGGACACATTTTTTAAACTAGATACCCTAGTGACGATTGGGGACAAGTTTGGTTAAATTTGTCTTAGTAGTTTCAGAGGAGAAGATTTTTGTAAAGGATTACAAAAATTTACGAAAAATGGTTAAAAACTGACTATAAAGGGCAATAACTCCTTAAGGGGTCAACTGACCATTTTGGTCAAGTTGACTTATTTGTAGATCTTACTTTGCTGAACATTATTGCTGTTTACAGTTTATCTCTATCTATAATAATATTCAAGATAATAACCAAAAACGGCAAAATTTCCTTAAAATTACCAATTCAGGGGCAGCAACCCAACAACGGGTTGTCCGATTCATCTGAAAATTTCAGGGCAGATAGATCTTGACCTAATAAACAATTTTACCCCATGTCAGATTTGCTCTAAATGCTTTGGTTTCAGAGATATAAGCCAAATTCTACATTTTACCCCTATGTTCTATTTTTAGCCATGGCGGCCATCTTGGTTGGTTGGCCGGGTCACCGGACACATTTTTTAAACTAGATACCCCAATGATGATTGTGGCCAAGTTTGGTCAAATTTGGCCCAGTAGTTTCAGAGGAGAAGATTTTTGTAAAAGTTTACGGACGACGGACGCAGGACGACTGACGACGGACGCAAAGTGATGAGAAAAGCTCACTTGACCTTTCAGGTCAGGTGAGCTAAAAACTTGTCCTTTACCAATAAAAAGTTTTACTCAAAAATAAGCTGGTACCTCTACCCCAAAATTATTTTATTTAGGTTGTATCCAAAAACAATTAGTTCACAGTAGGAACACATTCAATACTGGAAAATATCAATTAAAACATGAAACTGAAACTATAGTAATTGGAAGTAATGAAATGAGAATTTAATTATTTTTTTTGGTGACCTTTTAACTTTTTTCATCATTTTCTAAAATACTTGGAAGTTTGTCAACTGTAATAGCTTTTTCTCCATTATAAAATATAACACATATATAAATATTACAAAGAATTATACCTAGTGCTAGAACACAAAGCTGGAGAATTTCTCTCCAAGCTCTAGCTAAGTCACTCGTAAGTTTGTTGAAAAGATCAAAACTGTTAAAATATGCTATGATAGAGTTTCCTTTATCAATTAATTTAGCAAGGCTTCCTGGTACACAATAACTCATCAAAGGCTTGCTGAAAAATTCAAATCAGGTTCATCACAATATAACATAGATAAATCAGTATAACGGCAACCTTAGTGTCACTTTATTTATACCCAGGTGAAGTACCTTTGGATAGCTATCCTTTTTTGAAGTTGAAGACAGGCCATTTAACAATCATTTGTTGAAGTAAACTGAAAAACAAACAGGATGTCACATCCTAATTTTTATGGTGATTTTGTTTATAGGTTTATAGATACGATAAATTTAGATACGTTCTATCTATATATGGCATTGCACAAGGTTTTTCTAAGGTTGTGTATGATGTCTGTTCACTAAATCTGTTGGATGTATACTGATTGATATTTTAGCTTACCAGTACTATACTCATTATTGTAGGCCTTCAGTTGACCTATAGTTGCTTACATGCATATGTGTTTTTTTTAATCTTTTTAATCTTTCTGTTAGTGGCATTATTAGAAGTAGTGGTTTTTCTGGGTTAATTTTTTAGCGAGTTTTATTGTTGTCACTTGAAAGGGTACAAGGATTAAATTGACTATTCATCAGTTTAACCCCATACATATACCCACCCCACCCCACCCCCCCACAGTGGTTTTGGTATTTTCATTTGACATGGCGTTCAGTGTGCTTTAAAATAAATACATGAAAAGAAGGTGTATTCTTCCTTATCTTAATAAGGTGGTAATAAGAAACACATAATCAATCGATCCTTATTTTAAAGAAAAACAGTGAAAATGTGACTATCCATTTGATGCTTCATAGTTTGTAGTAAAATCACATAATGACATTCTGAGAGAGTAATAACATAACCTGCAAACTCAATCTATGGTGCCACAACTCAAATGAAATACAAATATTTCTCTTTTTATCATGGCAAACATTTCTACAGCATTTTATCAAATAGTAGTTTTATACTATTTCCCAATTTTCATAACTTTTCTTCCAGGCGGTTATCAAATTCTGTCACTATGGCATCATAAAATAAAAAAATTTGTAACAACTTAATATTGAATGCCTATCATCTAGTTAACACTTAACTTCCTAAAACTATAACTAATCCCCTTCACTAACCATCTCTATAAGATGGGCATTTTATACTTTCCCAATAAAAATTGTGTATATAAAATGATCTTTCCTCTATGAATGTGATTACCTTGCCCATACAGGGAAGTTTTGAGGACATTTATCTGCATTTGCTGGATCTGTAATTTTGTCTATTGGTACATCATAACGACATAACTTGGAACCTTCTTTAATGGCAAACTCCTGTACTTGCTGTATAGTTGTAAGTTCCTTATCTGGACATTTAGTTACACATAACATCGTTGTCTCAAGCGGCTTTCTGATATCAAGGAAGAAAACATAACTGAAAAAAAATTATTCATGAATGCATGCATTAATCAGTAACTTGTTGAATATTTTACAATATTTGAACTCTTAGATAAACTATTCTATAAATATTTCATTTTTAAGAATAAATAAGTTTGTTTTAGAAATAAGAACGATTTTAAAGGGCATTTTTTTTGTCATTGAGGTTGTAGATGGAATTGATTTGTAAGAAAGAAGTATCTACTCCTAATAAGAGCCCAGACAATAAGATATTTGGATTTGTTGAAACTTTCATTTTTTCCTTTATGGTTGAGCCAAGAAAATGATGATTTATAGATTGTTGAAACTTATGGTTTACCTTTACGATTGAGCTCAGAAAATGAAGTATTTGAATTGTTGATACCTATGGTTTTCATTTATGGTTGAGCCAAGTCAATGAGACATTAGGATTTGTTGATACTTATGGTTTCCCTTTATGGTTGAGCCCAGTCAATGAGACATTAGGATTTGTTGATACTTATGGTTTCCCTTTATGGTTGAGCCCAGTCAATGAGACATTAGGATTTGTTGATACGTATTGTTTCCCTTTATGGTTGAGCCCAGTCAATGAGACATTAGAATTTGTTGATACTTATGGTTTCCCTTTATGGTTGAGCCAAGTCAATGAGACATTAGGATTTGTTGATACTTACGGTTTCCCTTTATGGTTGAGCCCAGTCAATGAGACATTAGAATTTGTTGATACTTATGGTTTCCCTTTATGGTTGAGCCCAGTCAATGAGACATTAGGATTTGTTGATACTTACGGTTTCCCTTTATGGTTGAGCCCAGTCAATGAGACATTAGGATTTGTTGATACTTACGGTTTCCCTTTATGGTTGAGCAAGTCAACAGACATTAGGATTTGTTGATACTTATGATTTCCCTTTATGGTTGAGCAAGTCAACAGCCATTAGGATTTGTTGATACTAACGGTTTCCCTTTATGGTTGAGCCAAGTCAACAGCCATTAGGATTTGTTGATACTTACGGTTTCCCTTTATGGTTGAGCCAAGTCAATGAGACATTAGGATTTGTTGATACTAACGGTTTCCCTTTATGGTTGAGCCAAGTCAATGAGACATTAGGATTTGTTGATACTTACGGTTTCCCTTTATGGTTGAGCCAAGTCAATGAGACATTAGGATTTGTTGATACTTACGGTTTCCCTTTATGGTTGAGCCAAGTCAACAGCCATTAGGATTTGTTGATACTTACGGTTTCCCTTTATGGTTGAGCCAAGTCAATGAGACATTAGGATTTGTTGATACTAACGGTTTCCCTTTATGGTTGAGCCAAGTCAATGAGACATTAGGATTTGTTGATACTTACGGTTTCCCTTTATGGTTGAGCCAAGTCAATGAGACATTAGGATTTGTTGATACTTACAGTTTCCCTTTATGGTTTACCTTTACGATTGAGCTCAGAAAATGAAGTATTTGAATTGTTGATACCTATGGTTTTCATTTATGGTTGAGCCAAGTCAATGAGACATTAGGATTTGTTGATACTTATGGTTTCCCTTTATGGTTGAGCCCAGTCAATGAGACATTAGGATTTGTTGATACTTATGGTTTCCCTTTATGGTTGAGCCCAGTCAATGAGACATTAGGATTTGTTGATACGTATTGTTTCCCTTTATGGTTGAGCCCAGTCAATGAGACATTAGAATTTGTTGATACTTATGGTTTCCCTTTATGGTTGAGCCAAGTCAATGAGACATTAGGATTTGTTGATACTTACGGTTTCCCTTTATGGTTGAGCCCAGTCAATGAGACATTAGAATTTGTTGATACTTATGGTTTCCCTTTATGGTTGAGCCCAGTCAATGAGACATTAGGATTTGTTGATACTTACGGTTTCCCTTTATGGTTGAGCCCAGTCAATGAGACATTAGGATTTGTTGATACTTACGGTTTCCCTTTATGGTTGAGCAAGTCAACAGACATTAGGATTTGTTGATACTTATGATTTCCCTTTATGGTTGAGCAAGTCAACAGCCATTAGGATTTGTTGATACTAACGGTTTCCCTTTATGGTTGAGCCAAGTCAACAGCCATTAGGATTTGTTGATACTTACGGTTTCCCTTTATGGTTGAGCCAAGTCAATGAGACATTAGGATTTGTTGATACTAACGGTTTCCCTTTATGGTTGAGCCAAGTCAATGAGACATTAGGATTTGTTGATACTTACGGTTTCCCTTTATGGTTGAGCCAAGTCAATGAGACATTAGGATTTGTTGATACTTACGGTTTCCCTTTATGGTTGAGCCAAGTCAACAGCCATTAGGATTTGTTGATACTTACGGTTTCCCTTTATGGTTGAGCCAAGTCAATGAGACATTAGGATTTGTTGATACTAACGGTTTCCCTTTATGGTTGAGCCAAGTCAATGAGACATTAGGATTTGTTGATACTTACGGTTTCCCTTTATGGTTGAGCCAAGTCAATGAGACATTAGGATTTGTTGATACTTACAGTTTCCCTTTATGGTTGAGCCCAGTCAACAGACATTAGGATTTGTTGATACTTATGGTTTCCCTTTATGGTTGAGCCCAGTCAATGAGACATTAGGATTTGTTGATACTTATGGTTTCCCTTTATGGTTGAGCCCAGTCAATGAGACATTAGGATTTGTTGATACTTATGGTTTCCCTTTATGGTTGAGCCCAGTCAATGAGACATTAGGATTTGTTGATACTTACGGTTTCCCTTTATGGTTGAGCCCAGTCAATGAGACATTTTCCATCATCTTGTCTGCATTATCTTCATCACATGTGTTTCCAAAACTATCATAGCCATACACCAATCTAAAGGCATCTCCATGTGACACAGAAAATGCTGCTATGTATATCTGAAAACATTTATTTTTAAATAATTGGTCTTTTAAACTATGTTCCACTTAATGTCTTTTCGATTCATAGGTTGTCAGTGTAATAGTTTATACTGGAAAAAGCTTCAACTAATTGATTGATTGTTGGTTGCTAAATGTCCAGTGGCAAATATTTAACATATTTCAGATGACACCAAATTAGCAATACAAATATAAACTCACAGGATCGGAACAGTTGGTACACCTAGTGAAGGAGCAATAGTTTTGACTGCCACTATACATCAGGGTGTAAATTGTAGGGTCAGAATTTTGGCTTATGTGTCACCTGTGAACCCAAATGAAGAGCTATTGCTCTGGGTTTTTAACATACAGAGTGTAACACTCTCAATACTCACACCTTGGATTTAATGTCCCCTTGTTACATTGTACATTACTTAGTACATGAATTTATTTATACCACATAGCCAAACAGACACCCCTCAACAACAATCTTACTGATGGATAGAAAAGGCTCTCATGATAGCCACTCTTATTATAGGAGCTTACCGTAGGATGGTAATGATAATGAGGCCTCAGTTTTTTAAGCTCAACTGATAAAATACATGTAGTAAATCAAAGCATTGCTGAAAATATCATATTCTGACCATTTTCTGATTTCAATATATCTAAATGAAAATAACTTGATAACTAGTTTGTGCTGAAGCTTTCAGAAAGAGAAAGAAATTTTATGCTTTATGTAGATATATCCACATGACACAACTAATGCATGTAGCCACTGAATGTATAAGTAGTCTTTTATATTGACAGAGTCCTTTTCAATCTGACTACTTGTCTAACGCTTTCCCTATTTACACATTCCATTAGCTGGTAATTCTTATCTTTTATTTAACTAAAAGCTGATATTTCATTGGTCAAAACAACTTTTAGATGAAAGCTTACACACAGAGAAATTCTTGTTCAGGTGTATCCAATGAAACAAATATGGTGCCTGGTCAATGACACTACATTTGAAGAAAACAATAAACCAAAATTTGGCAATGCTAAAGAATTTCCATTAGGTTTATCATATTAAGATTTGTTTGCATTTAAAGGTCATTTTTTTCTCCAAATGTCATTTTCATTAGATTACAAATGTGAATTTTGAAAGGAAAGTGAGACTTCTGAAACCAGATTCCTAACCTTTAAATACTAGTGAAGACTTTTTTTAAATGGCTTAACTATATATTCAATGGGAATTATCAGGCTTAATTAAATTGTTTTTTAAGAATTCAATTGATGTATGAAAATTTTTTTTCTTTAAAACATTAAATAATGAATAAATGGGGAATGTGTCAATGGGACACATATGATGCCCCTGCTTGCATATAACGTTATAAAGGGACATAACTCAAGAACGGTAAAAGTGTCACTACCCAAATTTGTACTTGCTCTGAGTTTTGTGGTAATAAGCATTGTGTATAAGTTTCATAACATTTGGTTGAGGCAAACTTAAGTAAGAGAACGGAAACGAAAAAATTCAGCAATTTTTCCATTTGTAAAGGGGCATAACTCTAGAACGGTAAAAGTGACGCCACCAAATTTCTAATTGATCTGTGTTTAGTGGTAATAAGCATTGTGTATAAGATTCATAACATTTGGTTGAGGCAAACTTAAATTACAGAATGGAAACGAAAAAAATCAGCAATTTTTCCATTTGGAAAGGGGCATTACTCTAGAAAAATAAAAGTGACGCCACCAAAATTCAAATTTAATCTGTGTTTTGTGGTAATAAGCATTGTGTATAAGTTTATTACATTTGGTTGAGGCAAACAGAAACCAATTTCGGGACGTATGGACGTACAGACGGACAAGGGTAAAACTTAATGCCCCATCCGCCACGGCTGGGGCATAAAAACCCATTGAGCATTTATTCAGTTTAGTAGTGCAAACAGCCAGTTTACATATAAAAAAAACTCCTGAAAAAGAATGCTTTATCCTATATGAATGTCAGATAGGAAATTAAAGATTGTCTGCAAAAATTTTTTAAGCAGAATGAGATGAATCTCAGTAAACACATCTTTTAATCTATTTGAACTTACCATTCCTGCCCAGAAGAGGACAAATATAAGTAGTACAGGTATGTCCGTACATCCTCTGTTTTCTACAGGATTTGTCAGCCGAGCCTTCTCAGATGAATCTTGCTACAAACAGAAAATTTACAATCTCTTTTAGTATTCATTAAAGTTGTGTTGTAAAGTTCTACTCTCGCCACGCTGAATTGTTTTCCGAAAATGTTTTATTTCATTTATTTGCAAAAATATGCAAATAATATGCAAATGAGAAATACCCTGCTACTGATGTTTATTGATGACAATAAAGCTAAGATATGAGATTACAGGGTGGGATGGGAAGGTGGAGGTGGTTTAGCAGAATGCTGCCTTAAAATTGTTCATCTGGTGCGAATAGCATCAATTTTGACAATTTTTTCGTCCTATTTCTTGACCTGGAGGACTGAAACAATTACTGATTTGATCTATTAACTTATGTCCTCAACAGACAGGTTGTAGAAAAAAATCAATAACTTCCTATTGACATAATGGGGTAAAAAATTCAAATATTTTTATTTCTTTGCACCTTAAATTTATCATCACTTAATCTTTACCTTTTCTTGTGCTAAATATTTTTGAAACATTTGCCACTGGATAATTGTCAATAAATAATCAATTGCCTTTAATAGAGTAATTATTCACTGATGTTGAAAAATATTCCGGTTCTATGGTCTTTTGGTTGAAAGTTGTCACATTGGCAATCATACTGCAACTTTTTATTTTTATATTTCTGGGTCAGACATTAGGTCTGCCCAGGGTTTAAAAATGTCTAACAGGTCTGCCCAGGGTTTAAAATTTAATCATATCATCAATGCTTTACATATTACATTTTGATTGAATACTTGAAAAACTTTTTTACTTAAAGTTTTCAAATAAAATAAAGGATACCTGTCATATTTTTCAAATAAATCATTTTTATAAAACCTAAGAGCCACCAATCTTAATCAGGATACACAATTTACCTGCCTTGTACAAACAAAGTTGAGAGAAAGACAAATGTTTAACTTGTACTGGGACTGTTTCCCTACTTCTTTATGAGACAACCTCAAACAGAAACATAAGGAAAACTTTATTTTCCTGTCATGCTATTAAAAAATGTAATTCTATAATCAATAAAATGCATTAATATTTCAGTTAATTCCAGAATTTAAATACTTGTTTTCCTGTAATTATTCAATTGTTTCTTCTTGCTATAATCGCCTACAATTTACCCAAGCAAATATTAGAGAAAAAAAATCTTCTGAAATCACAATGTCAATATGTAACCAATCAAAATCTTCAATCAGGCAAAATTATTCTTTGAAATAATTGCATAAAGCATGTTTCTTTTAAGATCCAATTGATTTTACCACTGACTTAATATCAATCATAATTATTTAGTTATCTAAACTGGTTTAATAAAGAAATCGAAGTAAGATATCTAGAACATTGCATTATGGGATTTCATGCTGACAGCAATTTATGATGAAATCTGAAGCATTTAAACCTTGTTAAATTGAATCATTTATCTAGCTTATGCTCATGCTCACAGAAAATAGCTTTTTGATCTTCAATGTGTTTTCTTCTGATACAATCTCAGTAATTTGTTTCTTCTATAATCAATAGGGGATAGCATTAAGACATAATTTACTGTAGACAAAATTCAAATTTAGAACTTAGGTTTTGCAAGTATAAAAATTGTTTACTTTTTCAAAAAAAAGTGCTGTTTTTCTTATAGTAGCTGATATCTGCCTAAACTTGGGAACCGAAGGTAAATTTTTGTAAACATGATAAAACAAACAAAACTTTTATTGATTTTTAATTTCTTAAATGTACCAAGTGTCTACGCAATAATGTGACAATATATTTTGTGACCTCGCCTTAGAGGGTTAAGTTACTTGGAATCATCTTTCTAGAAAAGTTGGTCTCTTGTGAGTGGTCACATGCATGCAATCTTATTCTAATGCCGATTTCAATTTTAAAGTCTTTGAACAACTCAAATTCTGCAAAGGAACTTTTAAATAAAATTGTATCTTTCCCATACCATAATACAATTAACAATATCACTGAATACAATAAGGGAAATAAAAAAAATGCTCTTGTTTTCTATATAATTTTAACTAAATTCTGATTAAAAAGATTTTATTAAATTCACAGGCAAAAGTTAAGACTAAGGCAAATAATAGATGACTGTTTTATTAGTAATTAGTCTAATGAAATTTCAGGGTAACAGACAGAAAATAAAAAAACAAGCAATTTTGAAGTAACAAATATAAAAATATCTATTTATTTTTTATATTTACCTGATCACAACAACAGCAATCACCAGCACACATAATTACTTCTTATAATCTGAAAATAAAAGAAAAAAGGTTATATTGATATATATTTCAACCCAATTAATTCACCTATTTCAAGGTATGTAACAAATTATTTACCTTAGAGTACACTGGTTAACAAGATATTTCCCACTCAAACTCAGGTAATCTTTTTACTTCTGCCAATGGAAAACAATATCTGAATTATCATGTCTATTCAGAAACCTCATGTCTTGTGGTAGTGTATGCTCTTTTAACTTTGAGTGTGGGAGGTTGTGTATTCTAAGGCAACTTTCTTTTAAGAGATTGTCTAGATTTTACTAGTTAACATATCTGGATGACTTTATCAATATCTGCTTTATAAAGCAATTGGAATAACAGGTGCTGAGAATATAGACCTCATTTATTATTTTATGTGTTACAGTAATTTTCAATAATTTTTTATTATTTCAGCATGTTTTCCTTATTCAATATATGCTCTCCCTCATACCAACACAATCAAATAGGGACTGTAAAATGCTGTCCCTATTTGATTGTGTTGGTAATTCATACTTGGCAGGGATACTATGCACATAGGGTATTGTATCCTCTTTCACAGCTAAAAAAACAGGACATTCCCATTGGTGCCAGAGTAATTCTGGTTGATTTTATAGTTGAAAGAAAATATTCCAAATAATGCTAAAAATCCAGGCTTATTTCTCCCAAACATAAGGAAAATGAGATGGTTTATGTATATTGGGATATATCCATATTTTTCTCATTCAAAATCAGTGTAGTCCTACTTTGTTTGTATTGGATTTCAGGATTCTTTTATGTAGAACTTTGTGATGTTTAATGTATAATAAACAATTTTAGAATGGTCTGAGAAATAAAAAACAAAAATAATGAGGCAGAATGTCATCCCACAGTCTTAGTAGAACTAAGAAAACACATACTTGACATCTGAATATTCACCTATATGATGAAGAACAGCAATAAAATCACTATTAAGTATAAGTAAACAACAAAAGACTTGATATCATTCCTGTAGTATTTTTTCCCATAGGGTTAAATGTCCTCTTTTAATAGGTTTTCTTGTGTGTTTTTCTGACATATATATATATATAGTTTAATATGATTTAGCTGTTAAAACATAATAGAATAGAATTGTTTTGATTGATCAAATGTTCAATAGTCAACAGGCATAATTCTGAAATGGACCATTCTGACTAAAGTTCAGATCCTGTGTCTAAACAGGATCAATGCTTATACAATCCTATAAAGTTACAAGAAAGAAGTATTCAATTCTTATATTTAGTGACTTTTTTATGCCATCACCATGAAATTTCTAGTTAAATCAAGATTTTTGTCTGTTTTCAGTGCAGTGTTGTAATATTGTCATGGAGAGCACATGCATAGATGTAGCATTTTATTAAAATATTAAATATTATTTTGTAAAATGTCTCAGGATTGTTGAATGCCAATCAAAATTATTGAAACTTTTGTAATATACCAATTTGTAATGTACTACGGTAATTGTCCCATGCAGGATCCATATGTTAAATTTTATATTGAAATTAATGATGAAACTGTTTTAATTGAGAAGAAACTCAGGTGTCCTAGGATGGCAAACATTTGAAAAGGTACAATTTATTTACATTTTAAAATAATGACCAATTGACATTTCTTTGTTACACAATTAATTCATTCATTTGTTCACACGACCAAATGTATCATTTTTTTAATACATTCATAGATATGATTTAAGTCAGTGTAAAAAAAAATGATAAAAAAAGATTAAAAAAATTAAATACATGCAGTATAAGTTTTCATATATATATGTACTTCTTACAACATTTCAATAAAAGCTGTACCCAAAAAAAGTTGAAACAGACAAGCCAGTAACTAAAGAACAGTGTGAAACTATATATGTCAGTCTGGAAAGTCGCTGATGTAATCGTACAACAATTCAATAAAAGCTGTACTCTAAAGGAAAGAATATACAAAATAATGCTAAATCTGGTCTAACAAAAGATACAAAAATAATTTCAATCGATTCACCAGTGTCTGAGAGTAAGTGATTTACAACACCTATCCTCAGCTTGCTTTCAATTGATTTTTAACTTGTCTCAAAGACTTAAACATCTGATAAACATGCAAAATAGTTCTGGACTGTCAGTGAAGCAAGGATGAAAATTCAATCAACATCAGAACTGGATTCCATCTGAAGGAAGTTGTATGTATTACTGCCATAAAAAGAAGAATGGTTTCATGCAAAAGTCTTATCCATCAGATTACTACTATAGAATGGTTCTGGGCTGCCAATGAAGCAAACATCAAAAGTTCAATGAACAGTAAAAAATGAGGCTCCAGACGGGTTGCTAAAGAAGCAACGCAACATCAGATCCCAAATGGATTGTCACTGAAATTTGCATAAAGCTTTATAAATATAAAAAGGCCCTAGCTGATTTGTTAATGACTTTATATGAGCAAGAAAATCAACATAGTTTGTTTTGCATGATACAATAAGTTTTTTGTAAATGTAAGAAAGAGGGTCTACTTAGAATGTTAGTTCACTGTATGTAATATGATCCAGATGAACTGTAATATCACTATATGTTACAATATGATCAAGATTTACTGCAAGTTCTTTATATAAAACCAGAGAAAATTTCATTGGAAAATAGGTATTAAGGTGGGTTTAAATCAAAGCAAAGATAATGGTTTGGAATATTGAGAAAATTAAGTCCTCTTGAATCTGGATGAACCATCAAGTGTTAAACATCAATATTTTGAACGAAAATTCCAAACAGTAAACCAAATATCAAAATTAGACTTAGTCAATAATTATACAAAAATTGTCTTTGAATAAAATCTCAAAGTTCAACGGACAATTGATAAAAATAGGTTTTACAAAGGTCATAGACAAAAATCTGTCAATAACAAGAAACTCCATATTGTACAAGAACAGTAAGCATGATAACAAAAGGCTATTTTTTTTTGTGGGGAATCTTCTTATGATGGTAAAAAATTATAGCACAAGTTAATAATAAAATTACTAAAGTTACAAAAATAATGATGGCTGAATGTCTGACTATATCAATACTTCTATATGAAATAAAAATAAAATAGTGCTTTATGACACTCCATCAATATTTTTTTCTTAATAATATTTAGATATAATTTCAGTAAAACAGAATCAAGGAATAAATTCCATGCTTTTGACACCATTTCTATTCTTTAGAATTTTCCTTATTTCTTTGATAATTGTTTGTATAACTTAATTTTCATTTTTTTTGTTAAAGCAGATCTGAATTATTCATATATACAGCATTAATGATTTTCTACCCTTGACAGAAGAATCTAAAACTAATCTCTCATGAAAATTACTTGGTAAACTGCTTCAAACTTGGTAAATTTAATCTTTCACAACCTTCAAGATTTATGTAAATTTGGTGAACTTTGCAAAAATCAGTTAATTAACAAGCCTTCAAACTTATAAGTGAAAGAAGAATTTCTTTGGACAATGAATGTTACAACGCCATTCAACTGTAATGGCATAAAGACTTTCTTTGGACGACAATGTAATATTACAATGCTATTCAACCGTAATGGCATAAAGAATTTCTTTGGACGACAATGTAATATTACAATGCTATTCAACCGTAATGGCATAAAGAATTTCACTCTCAATAACAATGTTTTGTTCTTAAACCTTTTGCCATTTTAAGTGAATGAGAAATTGTTGACGACAAGTATATTTGGTCCTGATCTAGAATTCTAATCAGTCACTATAGACATCATGTCAAGTACCTATTGTACATCCACAAAGCCAAAACCATTTCCTATTTATTGCCATGATTGAGATACATGACTTGTTCCATATATCAATTCATAAATCATAGAACTCCTTGCCAAATTCAATCTCTACTAGAGTGTAAGAATTGAATTTTCTCTTGATGATAGCTATACTGATTGTCTGATTGCATTGCAGCATAATTCCATTACCGATTCAGTATTCTTAGGGGCATGTAATCCATTGTAAAAACCATCATTTTTCTCACCAAATGAAGTAATTAGGAATTGTCAGAATCTTTTACACTAATCAAGTCAAACAAATCAAATCTGTAGAGCAAGAAAATATAAAACATAAATTATTTTGATGTCTTGAAGAGGAACATAGAAGAAATTATATGATTTTACAGAAGATTTCAGTATTGATTTTCAACTATAATTTCACATGAAATCAAATGCTGAGGGCAAAATTGCATCAATTATTGTGTTCTGTATGATATATTAAATCATTCTTGTTTGAGATAAATGGCAGATCTAGAATGTCAAAGTCTGACAGATCCTGTATTAAAGATAAGCCAAACAGAGTATCATACCAGTACGGATGGATGTGTAAAAACACGACTGACCATTTATACTATAAAAGGACATAGTCCAATATGACCTCATTATCTTTATTTATAAAAATAAGGAGATGTGTTAAGATTGCCAATGAGACAACTTTACTTTTCTTTTGAAAGCTTGTATTTCATAAAAGGTGTCTGCATATAGTTAAAAGCAATCTGTTACATTTTTTTCCAAATTGATTTATTTTCTTTTTTTTTTTTAAATCTTACAACAGAAAAACCCAAACAACTGTTACAGTAACATATAACTCTGTTCTACCATTAGCTTACATGACGAACAAAATAAAAACATTGAAAACAAATAATCTTACTGTTCAAAACTAATCAAGATTGTCAAGCAAAAAAAATTGACAACTATGATCAAAAGTACAAAGAACAAATACATTTCCTGAAACCATGCAATTAGCTTCAGTAATTTCTCCATATTTTTCTCCAGAAAGGTTATAAACATTCTGAATTTGTCACCAAAATTGCTCAGTATTTCTCATTTTGAATATCAATTAGGTAATTGATTCTGGCAGTGAATTCTTCTACAGAATATAAACGTCTAATCATTGGGGATATCTTCACAACTTTTACTTAATTAAACAAAAGGGGCCACTTCACTTTTACAATTCCTCAATTTCAAATTCTTTGCATTTAACAATTATTGTGCAGTTAAAATTTACTCAGTGTAGTCAGTATTTCCTATTTAAGCAGAACATAATTCTGAAACATTCTGACAACTGCTAATGGTACTTGATGAATTCTGAATCCTGTTTTTTTAACCATATCAATATTATCAACTTGTATCATCCAAGACCGATGTTACTTGAGAATTTAAATGTCCACGATATCAGCATGACAAAGACAGCCTTGTCACAACTCTTTGAGAGTGTTTTATAGGTGGTTTGTTAAACCACAATTTTGTTTCATGCACTAGTATATGACTCTCTTCTGTGGCATTTAAAATTCTTCCATTTATTAGTTCACATTTTTATATTAACCATATTCCTTCTACCTAGGAGTTTGTCATAAGGGGTATTAGGTGGCAACCACCCATGCTTGATTTGATGGTTACAAGTGTCTGTTTACTAGCTCTGTAAGTGAACTGACAGTGAACTCAATTCATGAACAGAATTTGATGCCCCAAATCTTTCAAGTGCAATACTGTTAAATCTCCTGAATATAAATACTGTCTTGTACCTGTTAAGTATTAGTTAACTGAAGAAATAATATGACAAAATAACATTAAATATTGATATATTACTGTATAATTTTCAACTTTACAAGAATGATAATAATTGGTTCACTATTTGACATATATGTGAAGTGTTACATTTTTCATTGAAAATTTGTGAAATACATGTATCTTCAAGTATTCTTTCCAAAAAGCTGCAAATCTTTTTTGTTTCTCTTACTACTGTGTATTTAGCATAATGTCTGTTTTGTTTGGTGTAACCAAGACTAAACAAATTAATTATTACACTTCAGGCAAGTACCAAGACAGAACATATCAATTATTACACTGCTGACAAGTACCAAGACTAAACACTTAAATAATACACTACTAGCAAGTACCAAGAAAGAACACATCAACTATTTTACTGCTGACAAGTACCAAGACTAAACACTTAAATAATACACTACTGGTAAGTACCAAGACAGAACACATCAATTATTTTAATGCTGTCAAGTAGCAAGACTGAACACTTAAATCATACACTACTGGCAAGTAAGAAGACAGAACACATCAATTATTTTAATGCTGTCAAGTAGCAAGACTAAACACTTAAATTATACACTACTGGCAAGTACCAAGACAGAACACATCAATTATTTTACTGCTGACAAGTACCAAGACTAAACACTTAAATAATACACTACTGGTAAGTACCAAGACAGAACACATCAATTATTTTAATGCTGTCAAGTAGCAAGACTAAACACTTAAATTATACACTACTGGCAAGTAAGAAGACAGAACACATCAATTATTTTAATGCTGTCAAGTAGCAAGACTAAACACTTAAATTATACACTACTGGCAAGTACCAAGACAGAACACATCAATTATTTTACTGCTGACAAGTACCAAGACTAAACACATCAATTATTACACTGGTGGCAAGTACCAAGAATGAACACATCAATAAGTATAAGAGCACACATGCTGAATGTCTCACCTGCTTTACTGACCATTGATTTTATGTTGAAATCTTAAAGATAAAGGTTTTAATACAAATATCACATAAACTTAAAATTTTTAAAGATCCATGACAATGAAGTCAAGGTCAGATAAAACCTGTTAGATAGACATGTAAACTTTTCAATTATTCTGTACACAAAATATTGTTGACCTATTGCTGATGGTAATTGAAAAACAGACCAAAACACAAAAACTAAACATTGGCCAATGAACCATGAAAATGAGCTCAAGGTCAGATCATTCCTGTCAGATAGGCATGTTATCCTTACAATTATTCCATACACAAAATATAGGTGACCTATTGGTATTAATACTTGAAACACAGACCAAAACACAAAAACTTAACATAGACCATTAAACCATGGAAATGAGGTCAAGGTCAGATAATACTGGCTAGACCATCATGTTCATCTTACAACCATTCCATACACCAAATATAGTTGACCTTTTGCTTATAGTACTTGAAAAACAAAGCACATTAACTTAACATTGACAAATGAACCATAAAAATGAGGTCTATGTCATATGAAACCCTTACAATCATTCCATACACCAAATAAAGTTGACTTACTGCTTATATAGTATCTGAGAAACATTCTTATCATGTAATTTTAACCTTGATCACTGATCCATGAGAACCTGTCTGACGAACATGTTAATATTGCAACGAACCCATATACCAAATATATTTATCCTATTACTCATAATAAGTTAGAAATTCGCATGACAAAAAACTATAATTTCTTTTCAAGCAGTCGTTGAACCATGAAAATAAGGTCAAGGACAATGAACATATGACAGAAGGAAACTTCGTAACATAAGGTATGTGAATACAAGATGTGACGCATTCCAGGTTTTCTACCTTCTGAAATATACAGCTTTATACCAATGGTTAACGTTAGTCGGATAGTAATCCCTATGTCTCGCATTCTGCGACTTTTGTCGCAAGCGAGACAATACTGCTGGCAAGAACCAAGACTAAACACATCAATTATTACACTATTGACAAGTACCAAGACTGAACACATCAATTATTTTACTGCTGGCAAGTTCAAATACTGAACACATCAACTGTTACACTGCTGGCAAGTACCAAGTCTGAACACATAGACTATTAAACTGTTGGAAAGTACCAAGACTGAACACATCAACCAGTACACTGCTGGCAAGTACCAAGACTGAACAAATCAACTACTTTTTACACTGCTGGCAAGTACCATGACTGAACACATCAATTATTACACTGCTGGCCAGAATCATAACAGAACACATCAATTATTACACTGCTGGCAAGTACCATGACTGAACACATCAACTATTACACTGCTGGCCAGAATCATAACAGAACACATCAACTATTACACTGCTGGCAAGTACCAATGAATACATCATCTAATTAAACAGCTAATAAGTTTTGATACTGAACTACTGGCAAGTACCAAGACTGAGCACATCAAATATTACACTGCTTGCAACTACCAAGACTGACAACATCAACTAATGTTACACTGCTGATAAGTACCAAGACTGAAAACATCAATTATTACATTGCTGACAAAGACAAAGCCTGAACACATCAATTATTTCACTGATGGTAAGTGCAAACATTGAACACATCAATTATTACAATACTGGCAAGTACCAATACTGAATACATCAACTATTACACTGCTGGCAAGTACCAAGACTGAACACATCAACTATTACATTGTTGGCAAGCACCAAGAATAAACAGCAACTGTAACACTGATGGCCAGTACCAAACACTGAACACATGAACTGTAACACTGCTGTACAGAACCAAGACTGAACACCTCAACTAATACATTACTGGCAAGTACTTAGACTGAACACCTAAATTATTACACTGCTAACAAGTACCAAGACTGAACACATCAATTATTTTACTGCTGGCAAGTACCAAGGCTGAACACCTCAACTATTACACTGCTGGCCAGAACCATAAAAGAACACATCAACTAATTACACTGCTCATAAGTACCAAGTTTGAAAACATCAACTATTACACTGCTGGCCAGTACCAAGACTAAACACATCAACTTTTACACTGATGGCTAGTTCAAAGACTGAACACCTCAACTAATACATTGCTGGCAAGTACCAAGACTAAACACACCAACTAGTTCACTGCTGGCAAGAACCAAATGTAAGCCCTATCAAGTGTTTAAGTAGATATGATCATACATAAAAGAGATTCATTCCGTTAGTCTGGAGCCTATTTTCTTATGATCCAAATTTTCTCTACAAAGTCTGTTGAATCCTTAGAATTGAAAAAACATCCATTGCATTACATACAATCTTGAACTGTTGAGCTCATTTTTGCACAATTCTGAATTTTCATATGAAATAATGTGATTTCCTTGTTTCAATAAAATGTCCACAACCACAACCTGAATATTTCAAAGGTTCAAATGCAAGTTCCACAAAGAGTAGAAACAGATACAGACCTTTTACATTTTTACCACTTACTCACAGGCTCCTAGGGTTCTAAATAAAGAGTTAAATCTCTTTAAAAAAACACAAAATTTTTGTACAGTGAGTACTGATATAAAATTTTTTTCTTTCAACAACTTACAATTTTGTATAAAGTTGTTCGTACTGTAAAATCAGAAATTATTGCGTGCATTTATTATTGCGATTTTTGAAGAATGACAAACATGCGAGATTAATTATTGTGATTTTAGAAAATTTGCATACTGACATATGTATTAGATATCAGAATGCGATTTCTTTTTATTGCGATACTTTTACACAGTCGCATTATTCCCATTAATAAAAAGCTCGCAATAATTTTTGAATTTACAGTATCTATGCAGTTGTACTGAAGTCTTTTGGAGAAATTCAATGTATATATTTTTTTTTCATTTCCAATAAACTATTTGGATCTCATTAAGAATATAAAGAAGCTAACTCACCTGTAAATGTTTCTTTCTACATAGATATACAAATCTCATTCAATTATTGATATTTCATTAGAATTATCTGGCTTTAATAATCTTCAAAGAATGGCACATTGTACTGCAAAACACAACTCTAGCTCGATATTTCTTTTCACATTCTGATGGCAATAAAATATTGAAGTGCTCTCAAAACCAGAAACTGCAATTTACTTTTCTACTCAAGTCGGCAGAGGACAAATTAACAAGCGTATGATTCCAATGCTAAATGAACTCCTCCGGGAGCAATTTGTGTTTTCCGTGAGTGGAAGACATTTTGTATTGCTATGCAGAAATATAAATAGTTACAATATTTAATGTTTTTACCAAATATTCATAACAATATGTAATATCATGGTATGCTCACTGCTTGTGACAATTAGCTGCAATGAATCATAAAATAACTGTAAAATAAACCTCAGTACATATACATGGTGAATGTTAATCTCACCAATCAATACGTATGATCAATAGTAAAGACAATTCCACTATTGTCACTTCAATACAGTCATTAAATTCCCATATCATGCTTTCACGGAAAAAATCAAACATATTCCAATATTATTTTAATAAAATAGAAAAGTATCCTTGATTTTCTTTAATTTCATAATATTTTTCCTATTATACAACAAACAATGACATAATTATATAAGTAACAGCTTGAGAAGATGTTATTTTTGAAGTCTATACATTGGAAACACTAAATGGAATATCTTGTTTCTTTTAATATCTATTACAGAGGAGAACTTAAAAGCATTACATGTAAAATAGCCAACAAAATAGCTACATGATGAAATATCATATTTTACTTCAAATCATTCATAATTCATGATTACTAAAAAAAAAGAAATTCTTCGAGATTCCATAATAAATGGTATTGCCCAGAAGGTTAAACACTATCATGTATCAAATATTCTGTTTTCTGTTCTATCTAGTAACTATGATCAGCAAAAGCAGTGAGGATAAATCCAATTTATCAGGCTGTACTTATGCATACATATGTATGTTATGTCAAGACAATCTCAGGATAAAAGAAACTTGGCAGCATGTATCTAAAAGTTTAAACTCTTTAAATTTCAAAGAAGGAGGTATGACAGGAGCCTTTTTTTGGCCCCTGAAATTGCAAAAATAAAGAACACCATTCAAACCTATAATAAATTGCTTCGCCAACCATGAACAGTTGGGGAAAAAATGGACACAATATTTGCGCTTGATACAGGTTTGAATTTGGATTGTAATTAAATATTTGACACATAATAGGTTTCCGACACAGAATAACTGCAGTCAAAGAACTTAGAATTGGTTATATGATTTGAATTTATATTCAATTTTTTGCTTTTTTTTCACCTCCCCCCCCTTTTTCCCCCAAAAAAATTTCTTCCCTCAAGATATGGTCATAATCTCAATTCAAATTTCCAATGGAGTTTACCCATAATTACCCATTTAAATTTACCATAGTGCTAACTTAATCTATTTTATAATAGAATTTAAAATATGATGTCAAATCTTTCATATGGATTTTTTTGAAAAAAAAAATATGCAACATTTGTAGATATTTTTACTGGTCTTCCTTTATAAATATGCATTTCTTTATACATAATTTAAAAGCAGTGTAAGGGAGGTAATCAAAACATTGTGTTTGGATTACCTCCCTTACACTGCTTTTAAATTGTCTTAAGTAATTGTCCATTAACCATTTCTTTATACATAATTTAAAAGCAGTGTAAGGGAGGTAATTCAAATGATGTGTTTGAATTACCTCCCTTACACTGCTTTACATTATGTTTTGTACTAAAGTTACTGTCCATTAACCAGGACACCCTTGTTTTCCCCCTTTTTTGCCCCTAATTCCTAAATGGTTTGAGCCATAACCCCCAAAAGCAAATCCTAACCATTCCTTTGTGGTATGAAAACTTGTGGTATAATTTTGCCCCTAATTCCTAAACGGTTTGAGCCATAACCCCCCAAAGCAAATCCTAACCATCCCTTTGTGGTATGGAAACTTGTGGTATAATTTCATAGAGATCCATACACCGTTCAACAAGTTATTGTCTGGAAACTAGAAAAATGCTTATTTGGGCCCCTTTTTGGCCCCTAATTCCTAAAACTGTTAGGACCATAACCCCCAAAATCAATATCAACCTTCCTTTTGTGGTTATAAACCTTGTGTTTAAATTTCATAGATTTCTATTTAATTATACTAAAGTTATTGTCCGGAAACCAATTGTCTTCGGACGACGACGAAGTGATACCAATATACGACCGCAAAATTTTTTGGTGTTCGTATAAAATGATTGTAATTGTATTGATAAATGAACAAGTTAATATAATATGGACACTTTAGTGCAGAAAACTAGTGATGTCAAAATGATGTCACAATAAACTGCTTCGCTGAGCGCAGCTGGATACGCCCACAGAGGTCCAACCCTGAACAGTTGGGGCAAAAATGGACACAATATTCAAGCTTGATACAGGTCTGAATTTGATATACTAAATATTTGATATATTATAGGTTTCTGAATTAATGTAGTCAAAGACCTTGAAATTGGTTATATGAAAGATTTCTAGCTGTTGTGCAATACACTATGCTGTTGCGTAAAACTTAGTAAATCTGTTGTCAGACTATAAACAAATAAAATCTTATAACTCGGAAATATAAAATCAAAAATTTATAAAAATCAAAAGGGAGCTTACAAAAATAGATATAAACAATTTACCAAAGTTTCATAAAAAAATGCTGAAAGCATTTTTGAGTTATTGTCAAAAAACTGGAAAATCCCCCTTTTTGTAATGAATTAAACCCAATAAATCGGAAACGTATAGTCTGAAATTTATAAAAATCAAAAGGGAACTCATGTCGATAGAAACAAACAATTCACCAAAGTTTCTTGCAAATTGGTGAAATTGTTTTTGAGTTATTGTCTGAAAACTGGAAAATCCCCCCTTTTTTAATGAATAAAACCCCAAAACTCGGAAACGGTAAATCCTTAATTTATAAAAAACAAAAGGGAGCTCACGTCAATAGATATGAACAATTCACAAAAGTTTCATGCAAATTGGTGAAATTATTTTTGAGTTATTGTCCGAAAACTGGAAAATCCCCCTTTTTTAATGAATAAAACCCCAAAACTCGGAAACGGTAAATCCGAAATTTATAAAATACGAAAGGGAGCTCACGTCAATAGATATAAACAATTCACCAAAGTTTCATGAATATTTGTTAAAGCGTTTTTGAATTAATGTCCGACATGTTGACGACGGACGGACGGAACAGACAGACGGACGGACAGACGGTCAACGGTATACCATAATACGTCCTGTAAACGGACGTATAAAAATGTAAAAATTGACATATTTAAACTAAAACAAAATACGTATGAGCAAAGGCTTAACCCCAAAAGATATTCTACACACATTTGAATTTTATTTTGCTACAATAAAGTTTGTAAAATAAAAATTGAAGCAAAATATATTTCTGGAGAAAGCCTTTGCTCATATCTAAATATTAATGCAAAATGAGGCTATTCTGACAGTTTTTGCAGTTTTGCACTAAATTCAAGAAGTTTGAAGCTCTGATGCCAGCATGTAAGACAAAAATTCTAAAATATAAATACCGATGTCTAACAGACTAACGTCTTATAAACATCCAAAGTACGTTATTTGGTATCTGTTTCTATATGGGTACATTGTAGAATCCCTATGGGCTTTATAACAATGATGGTAGATTTATTTTAATTTTTTTCATTTTGAAATTCAAGTGCAAAGATCAGAGGTAAACCAGTATATCACTGTATTCAGATTGAGGAATAATTACTTCCTATACTTTTAGTATCTTTAACAAATTATTTCTTATAATATCTGAATCAGAAGCCATACTTTTCAATTTGGACAGTTCTGAACTGAATGATATTACAGTGCAAGATGTAATAGAACAACAAGCATAAGTCAGCTAACTTCAAAGACCACAGAGAATGAACTAAGCACTTAACAGTTGGCGTGTATGTCAAAGGGGGTAATTATCTATATGCATCAAGAGAGATATCAGCCAAACAGAAAATAAATTACATATTTTATTATCCAATATTGTGCATGCAGTATGCTCCAGGTTCTAAAAAAATCAATGTCCACATAGTTCTATTTGGTAAATGCTTTATACTGACTCAATGAAATTCTGGCTGATAATTCTATAAATAAATCCAAATAGAGAAATAAAAGAGGCAGAATTGCAGAGTAAAACACATCAAAGAAATTAAGTCATCTTTTTTTTTCTAAATATGAATATGGGTAAAAATCTATTTATTTCCTCAGTTTTGTCCAAGATGGCATTATGATATGTCCTGTTCTTGTGGTGCATGTCTTTATCTTTCAGAGTTATAGGGTGTTTTTCTTGTGAGAGAGCAGTCTACATTTACATTTTATAATTGTTCTGTGTACATCTACGTCATTTGGTCTCTGGTGGATAGTTGTTTAATCAGCAATCATACAAAATCTATTCATTATTATAAATATAGTATAAAATTCACAAACCACCTACAGTTAATAGATCAAAAGCAAAACATTAAACAATCAGAAACTATCTATCAGACAATTATATATCAATATAAGCTCCATACCTACAAGGATAGCTGAAGGTGGAGAGGCACGATCAGAAACTACCTATCAGACAATTATATATCAATATAAGCTCTATACCTACAAGGATAGCTGAAGGTGGAGAGGCACGATCAGAAACTACCTATCAGACAATTATATTTCAATATAAGCTCCATACCTACAAGGATAGCTGAAGGTGGAGGGGCACAATCAGAAACTACCTATCAGACAATTATATATCAATATAAGCTCCATACCTACAAGGATAGCTGAAGGTGGAGAGGCACGATCAGAAACTACCAATCAGACAATTATATATCAATATAAGCTCCATACCTACAAGGACAGCTGAAGGTGGAGGGGCACCATCAGAAACTACCTATCAGACAATTACATATCAATATAAGCTCCATACCTGCAAAGACAGCTGAAGGTGGAGGGGCACAATCAGAAACTACCTATCAGACAATTACATATCAATATAAGCTCCATACCTGCAAGGACAGCTGAAGGTGGAGGGGCACAATCAGAAGCTAGGAGGGGCATGATCAGAAACTACATATCAGACAATTATATATCAATATAAGCTCCATACCTACAAGGACAGCTGAAGGTGGAAGGGCACGATCAGAAACTACCAATCAGACAATTATATATCAATATAAGCTCCATACCTACAAGGACAGCTGAAGGTGGAGGGGCACAATCAGAAACTACCAATCAGACAATTATATATCAATATAAGCTCCATACCTGCAAGGACAGTTGAAG